GCACTGCTTGTTTACTGTTTAGATCCCACACTGAAGATAGGCTCCACAGGGGAGGGCCGCACCTGTCCTATTCACCTCTGTGTCTGCCAAGCCCACAGTAGGTGCTCTTTCAATTCTCCTGGGTGGAATCCAAAAGACAAAGGCAAGAGTGAGTGAAAGCATGTGATCAGAGGGAACTGCCAAGTGTCTAACCTCCACCTGGATGCTTTCACCTACCCCAGCACCACCCCAAATTCAGCCGCACTAGATGCTCCAACCATTTTGTTTGTTTCTTTGCTTGCTTGTTTGCTTCTTTGCATTGCCTGGGGATTCATTATCTTCCAAATAAAATTGACTCTCAAGAAGCAGAGGTCCTGGGGCCCTGGGCCAGCACCATTAGCTTAAGGATGTGCTCTGTGCTCTGGGACAGGATAGACAGCTGGACTGGGGCAGGTGGAGGCTCTGTGTTAGCCAAGGGGTTTGGCTGAGCTCCAACTCTATACCACTCTCTGGGGACTTCTGACAGCTTGTGGAGGGGCAGGTGCATTGTTTTCTCCACGGGAACCCATAACACAGTGCAGGAAGTGTAATGAGACAGGGCAGAAGCCAGATGACTGTGAGCATCAAGGTACCAGCAGGGGCATGCGAGGGCAACAATCCAGTGACGACTTTGCAGCAGCAAAAGGCATTTTAACTTCAGCTGGGTTTCTTCTCTCCCTACCCTTCTTCCCATCCTTACCCATCTCCACTGTTTCTCTTACTCTCCATTTCTTGATGTGGTACCTTTCTTCTATGGTCATTTTCAGATTGGACAATGGACCCAAGTAAAAACTTATTTTTTTTTTCTTTAAATAAAGCAAAACATTCATGGTGCAGTTTTGGATTATGATTTCTGAGGAGCGGGCTTCTCCTGTGTGTGCATGGAGGGGCAACTTCCCCCCTTTCCTTTCCTGACTGGCATTTGTAATGATATCCCTTTCTGCCTCCCACATGAATGTAGAGATTGTCATCTGCGTTTTCTAGGCGACTTGCAGAAGCCTGTGAACTAGAGGACTTCCCACTGTGATTTCTCCTGAAGGGAGTGGAGATTACTGATGTCAATCACTGTGGATGGATAGTGCTGAGGGAGTTCCAGAGTGGCAGGGGTTACAGGTGAAGTCTGCCACAGGTGCTCAGCAGGGACACTTCCCTCCAGGGGACCCCAACTGGATGGGAGAAAGCCAGATCCCATACACCCAATTATCTGGTTCAGGGGTCAGCATATTGTGGCCCTTGGGCTAAATCTATTTAGTCAATATGTATCAAAGCTCTGGGCATTAGAATAGTACATGTACATGTACAGTCTTCCTAAGAATTTGGATTTTCTCTTTTCATAACAAATTTCAACTTTAGTTCATATCAGGATATCAGTGGATTTCCTTTGTAGCGTTTTTTCCCCCTTCAGGGTCAGGAATTGCATTTACCTGTTATGAACCTCAGGTTTTTGAGGTTTGATTCTGTTAAGGAAGAAAGCACTTGTTTCATAGTTCATCTCCTGGAAAACTGTAAGGAAAAGTCAACATTTTCTCTGGTCCATTAGTGCTTATACTTGGCAACCATCTATAAGAGCCTGGAGGAATTTTCCAGGAACAGGAGAGATGTCCGTGGAATGGGGTTTCTAGAAAGGTGGTTTCCTCTGGGTGCCTGTTCATCCTCTGAATGTGGCAGCAATGGCACACATTTGGAGACCATGAGAGTATCCAAATGACCCCCAGAGAGTCGGATTTCCAGTCAAACCTCTTTATTCTGGCTGCGGTGAACCTGAGATATCTTTTTCCATGATGGACCCCAGCCCTAAAAAAGGAAATGTGTTAGATCCTTCCATCAGCCTGAGAATTTGGAAATGGGATGAACAGAACCCTAGAACCAAATGCACAGATTTGGAAGCTACAGATCTGGGGAGGGTCCAAGCTGGTACGTTGTTAAGAATTAGTTCATGACAAATTAATTATATCAATTAAAGCTATCATTTAAAGTATAATTAGTGATCTTTTTAAAATAAAGAGAAAGTTTATTTTTGTTAGCATAAATACACTAGATAAAGATTAACTTGTACTAGATGCAATAAAGTTTGATTTGGTATGTGTGTAACATATATCTATGTAATCTTGTAGAAGTGCGTTTGTATAAAACATACCTGGGTGGCTCAGCTGTTAAGCATCTGCCTTCAGCTCAGGTCATGATCCCCAGGTCCTGGGATGGAGCCCAGGCTTCCTGCTCAGCGGGGAGCTTGCTTCTCCCTCTCCTTCTCCCTCTCCCACTCTCCCTGCTTGTGCTCCCTCTCTTAAAATAAAATAAAATCTTAAAAAACAAAACAAAACATACCATTCATTTAGTTGTTATTCACTTTTTTTAAAATCAGTGATTTATTAAAGGTCTATTGTGTGCTAAGTGCTGGATGAAAAAATGAATCACACATTCCTGGGTACACTGTGAGGGGCCGTTTTGCTGTATTAAAGAATTTGGATTTAACTTTCAGAGAGTATTATTCTCACTGGCCCTGGCCTGGGCCAAGAGAATGCAGGTTTGAAATTTTGAGCTCTTTGCGGGTGGTTAGTGCTCTTTTGGAAAACATGATGCCTGGCAACCATCTGCGGCAGGACTGAAAATACTGGTAAAGGGTTTAAGACTCTAACGATTCTTCCAGAACAACCAGCCTGACAATGAGTAATATGCAGTTTGATGTGAAAATTAGAAAACTGGCAGACGAAGCTGCAAGAGGGAAATTGGATTTCCAGAGAGACGAATGGGAGGCCATGCGGCTGAATAGAGTTCATAAGATGCAAACGCATGCAGGGGAGTTGCAATCCTCCCTCATTCCCAGCACACAGAGCAAGTCCCTATTATTTATTTATTTGTGGGTGAAAAGCGAGACTTCTGTGGCCCTGGTGTTTATTATCAAAATGGATGGATTCAGTATCGAGCAATGATGTGTTCAAAATGAAAGCCACATCATTAAATGTCATGGGCATTTATTAACACAGTTTCCTCCGTATTCAAATAAAACAGGCATTATCTCACCAGGTGCCACGTGACTCCAGCCTTCTCTGGACTGGCTTTGATGGAGGCTCAGATTCTGGGAGGCATTGTGGTCGAAAGCAAGTCAGGGAAGAGCAGAGATATCCAGGGGAATGTGATGAGGAATGGAAGATGCCTAGGTGGTGGCTTTAACAGGGAGGGTTCCGTCTTCCAAAAGCACAACATGGCCTGTCAACTTATGGCTTGTGCTTTTCAGGGCCCCCATCATCTGTCCCAGCAGGTCTCCTGTTTGTCTCTCCTTTCTCCCTCTCATTGTTTTCTCTCACTGCGTATCCCTGATCAAGGAATGGCTTCCTTTTTTGTGAACTGTGACTTCTAACCTGGACACAAAAATTATCAGGGTAGGTGGCAACCTTCATCTCAGGATCTTTTGAACAGCTTCATGCCCAGAGCAAGTCCACACTAAAAAGACTGTACAGATTTGAATAGCTGTGCTCCAACTGAAAGAAACCAACTTGGGAGAAATGACATAAATTCATTATTACTGAACTGAAACCTCTTGCTGCTCCAGGCAGAGAAGATAAATTACCACTCAAGTGATATAAAGTTATTTGAATGTTTCATTGGATCAAATGCATCATGATGTCTGGAAATCTCTTCTCTTTTAAGTTAGAATTAAAGAATGGTTATCAGACCAATAATAGACACTATCATTTGCATACATTTCATCTCAAGAGACTTCTGAAGTTATGTAATACTCAAGTGGATAATTGTTCTTCACACTCCTGACATATCAAGTTACAGCTCAGATTAAGGAAGACACATTGGTGACTGAGATGATTGGCAGGGCCCACAAGGAGGGCATCTGTAGGAACTGAAAGAGGGTATGGCTCCACAGGGGGCCTTTTAAGTGCTCCCATGAAGGAGGTGAACTTGGCAACAAGTATTCAAAGCAGGTTTTCTCTGTTTTATGATTCCAGATAACTGGGTATTTGATGATGACCAAAATGCCAGTATTTTTTCTCTTTGATTGTCCCTTTTTGTCAAAGACTTTAATTCCTTGAAATAGCCTCTAAAGTTGCCATTAAAGTGGCCATTAATTCCATCCCCTGCCCCCTTCCCACAAATTCTTATTGAGCAGGTCTCTGGTCTGGAGTTGTGCTGTGAATGGAATTAATTTTCGGTGTTTGCTTAGAATGCGTAACATCAGCAGGCTGATTTTTGCAAGTCCTTCCTGGTTTCTCCATAATCCCATGATACTTTCAAGGAAGAAAAGACCCCGTTTTATTTACTCTGAGCCTCCAGCGCCTAGCACAGAGTCAGGCATGGAAATGATGTGCCTTTCTTGTTGAGTAAAGAAATGACTAGCTCATTTCCCACAGTGCCATTTTTGTTATGATTCCCAGTATTACCAGCACAACTGTAGGATACTCTGTAGATGTATAGGTGCTATGCTGACAGAAAACTAGCTTGGTTAGGCACTTTTAGCTTCAAATGATCACCATCTGTAAGGTGGGCTTCCTATAAGAATGGCATAAAAAGAGGGTTTGTGAAGTAGCAGGAGACATCATCTTTGTCATGAGGTCACCTTTGTGGCAGTGTCACTCACCATTCTATGTGTAATCCTGCACTTTCAAGCCTGTTAGATTAGTGTCCCATGACCATGACATGACTCTGTGTGACTGTGAAAGTGACATATGTCATTACTAAGTATAGGAAGTTGAGACCCAGTATTCTATTCTATTCTATTCTATTCTATTTATTTGACAGACAGAGATCGCAAGTAGGCAGAGAGGCAGGCAGAGAGAGAGGCAGAAGCAGGTTCCCCGTTGAGCAGAGAGCCTGATGTGGGGCTCGATCCCAGGACCCTGGGATCATGACCTGAGCTGAAGGCAGAGACCTTAACCCACTGAGCCACCCAGGCTCAGTGAGCCACCCAGACCCAATATTCTTAAATCCAACCTTTTCTGTCTCTTTCACGGGGACTTTAGAGACCCCAGATTTAGATTGTTCCATTCTAACATGCCAAAGACTTCATAAGCCTGGGCTCCCTGGTGAGTGTGGAGTAGTGTCCCCACTGATTGCATTGCAATTATAATGTGAAAGAAGAATAAAGTTTTGTTGTGTTAAGTCACTGAGATGGGGTAATTTGTTACTGCAGCATAGCAAATTCTGACAAACACAACCTCAGCAGTATTTCCCCTTACATCTCACTGGCCAAACCTAAGTTACACAGTCTTTCACAGCGGCAAGGAAAGCTGAGAAAAATGGGAAGAGGATTGTTAATTTGGCTTAAATGAATCATAGTCTACCCCCTTGGGCTATGTCACCCCAGAAAAAACTTGGGGTTTGGTTACAAGGAGGAAGTGAGGATGACATTGGGTAGGAACTCTCAGTGTCTGCCAAATCACCAGACACTGTTTAGGATACACAGAGAAGATGCAAAAGCCGAAGAGGAAGAGGTGGATATCCAGGTAATTCTGTAATTCCGTGCCTCAGATGGTGTCCCAGAAATGTCTGATCCCACGTGGCTCCTTCTCCTGTGAGCTGTCAAGATGCCTGGTTAAGTGACTGTTAAACTGCCTTTGCCTCCTACCTCCTGTCTCCCACCACCCAAAAGGCTACCCTTGAGGTAGGGAGGGAAGTGATCCCCACTATCCTTTTGCCAAATCTCTCAGAGAGGTTATGAAACTGAACAGATTTGTGTTTGAAAAGGGCTTTGAAAGGTACCACAGAAGTGCAAATGCCTGCAATTCATTGCCTGCTGAATGGAACAGGAACTGAATTGCTTTAAACTGGAATTTCAGGGCCTGTGGCTGGTGTCTGGGATTCGCACAATGGTTTTCTAAAATTGCTTTCTTTTGTATAGACTGTTATTTGTTCTCTCAGTTCTTCCCCCAAGTTAACTCTCAATCCCTACTCACCCATCTCCTTAAGCAAGGCCTCAGCCTGGAGGAGGCAAATTACAAATCGCTCATTTCCACTTGGAGAAGGTTTATCACTCCTTTCCCTGACCTTCTTTAGTGTTCACTCCTTTAGCCACTCAGCGTCCTCCTCAGGCTCTTCCTGTGGGGAGAGAGGGGGGATGTAACCTCTATCAGCCAGACCCTAGGATTGGCCCTGTGGTGGGGGTGGAGTGGATTCTGAGGAGGATGGTCTGACTATAAACTAGGCTGAGGGTTGTTAAAGGCCTGCAATCACAGGCCCAGCCCGACCTCCTGCTGTGGCATCTTCTGGGCGAGTTTCATGGGTCTGCATTTTTCTAAGCACAAGAGTGTTCGTGAGAGAGGAAGCTCAAGAAATTCCTTATATAATGAATGAATTGTGCAACACTCACATTGCACTAGGTCCTGTGCTAAGTATCTTCCCTATAACTTCTCATTTAATCTTCCCCAAAGACTTAGATATGGCTACAATTCTCAGCATTCCTCATTTTCCAGAGAAGAAACTTGGCCAAGGAACTTAGCTAGGATCGGGACTCAGGTTCTACACAGCCACCTTAGCATGATTGACTTGTCTGTTTCCTCTCCCTGAGGATTAACATTTTTAAAAGGATTTCAGGGCAAGAACACAGTGGAATGGATCTCCAGTGGTGATGTTTCTGGCAGCAGAACTGGAGGGAGGCTATTACCCAATGCTGTGGTGTCAGGAAGAGTTAAATCTTTTTGACAGTTCAATGGCCCCCTTTGGGTTTGCCCAAATGGCACCTGTTGTTGAAGTCAATAGAGCTTACAATTTAATTTCATCTGCCTGCAAACAATCTCTCTCATTAGGGGGTGATGATGGGATTCTCCCAGCCATGCAGTTTCACTTTCTGTGGGGGTAATGCATAAGTACAGTCACTGTTTTCTGCAGAGAGTGAGGGAGAGTCCCCTCCACTTCCAGACAGCTCATAATGAGAAAGCAAGTCTCTGGGTAAGGAGAGGCTGGGGGAGGCAATGAGTGTGAGTGAGGAAGGGTGAGAAGGGGTCAAGCCTGCACACAGGGCTCCTAAGAGTGCTTGCCTTTTCCTCTGTGAGTTGTCACCTATCCACTTGCAGGCTAGTCATTATGTTCAATAGAATTTGAATGCTTCCATTACCCAAATGACAAGGAAGTGGCTTTTCTATCAGAGATGAACCCACAGGATGGGCATAAGGATCTCTCTGTTTTCAACTCTGAGCTAATAGGATCCTTTGGTTCATTAATAAAGGGGATGGTGGTAAAACATTAGCAACAGCAAGGATAGTACGAGATACCATTTGCTTAGATCTCTTTATTTATGTCTCAGAACAACTCTGTGAGCTAGGGATCTCGTGCCCATTTTATAGAGGAGGAAACTGAAACTGAGCAGGAAGAGACCTTATGTCATACACTCAGTAAAGACAAAAGCAGGACTACAAATATGTACCTTTTCTACTGCCTCATCACCTATCCTTCAACTGTGTTTCAGTAAAGACACAAAGATTGTGTGTCCCAGTTACTCTCCAGGGATCAGAATTATACCCATGACATTGTGCATTGTGTTGGGAAGGTTGAGGGCATTTAAGAACCCTCTCCTTCCCCTCTCCCCCGGGAATTCCTTGGGGGAAACTGGTGGGAAGGGACACTGTTGGAAATTTCATTTTCTTTTATGAGTTATCAGTGACAGAGAGTACATGTGTGTTTGCATGTTCTGGCAATACTGGTGTCTGATGTGTGACCTGTTTTTTATTAAAGTTATAGCTTTTACAGGGAGTCAGGGTTATTACTGGTGCTTTGGGAGAGAAGTCAAAGCTGGACTCACTCTGGCATGTAGAAGGTGATTTCAAGTTCTTTGCCCTAGAGATATATATGCTAATAGGAAAAATGTTTTTTCTTCTCTTCAGGCCAAGTTCAGAAAGATTATACTAGCTCTGTGGATTGCAAATAAAAGAACAGACATGACCTGGGAGGTAGACTAGGAAGAGAAGAAAAAGGAAGAAAAGCTAAAGTCCCTAAAGAAGGCTGACAAAGGGAGGATGGTAGTGTCCCTCCTTAGAGCTCTGGGGAGATCATGTGGTATGGGGCAAACCAAATGAGTGAATGTTCATTATTGGATGAATGAATTGTGGCACTGAATTCAACAGGTTAGTAGAGCAAGGAAAAAATTCAAGTCATACATAAGAGTTCCTTTTCTCTAACTTCATGTTGAACAAAAACTTTCTTTCTTTTTTAAAAGATTTTATTTATTTGACACAGAGAGAGCCCAAGCAAAGGGAGTGGCAGGCAGAGGGAGAGGGGGAAGCAGGCTCCCCACAGAGCAGGGGAAGCTGGATACGGGACTCCATCACAGGATACTGGGATCAAGACCTAAGCCAAAGACAGACACTTAAAGACTGAGCCACCCAGGGGCCCCGAACAAGAAGTTTCTGGTGGTATGACAAGATAAACCTATTTCCAGATCATGCTGTACAGAGGATAATCGTCATAATCAATGCCATCCTACATCTTTTGGACTTCCCCTTCTTACATTTTGGTGATTTTTCTCATTAAGATTTGCTCCTTCCAACAGTAGAGGTGATGAGAGAACAAAAGGCTGGCTGAAGACAAAGCAAAAGCTGACACCCTGCAACCTTCCCCCACTGCACTCCTGGGTGGGACATACGTGACATTCTTTAGGAATCTCCCAAGTATCTTAATGTTAATACCTTGCTGAAGGGAAAAACCTTGACAATGACAAGGCCTCAAGGCATCTGGTATCTTATAGGTCCTCTTTAGCATATGAAAGTTCTATTGAAACCTCCCTTTTTCCTTAACTCCCCCAACCCCATCATACCTGCCACCCCTCACAACCCAGGGGCAGAAGTTCTTTCTGCCCATGGGTCCTGTCCCCCTGCTTTAATAAGCTACTATTTTGCACAAAAGATGTCTCAAGGGGCGGAGTCAAGATGGCTGAGAAGGAGCAGGCTGAGACTACTTCAGGTAGCAGGAGATCAGCTAGATAGCTTATCTAAACATTGCAAACACCTACAAATACAACGGGAGATCAAAGAGAAGAAGAACAGCAATTCTAGAAACAGAAAATCGACCACTTTCTGAAAGGTAGGACTGGCGGAGAAGTGAATCCAAAGTGACGGGAAGATAGACTGCGGGGGGGGGGGGGGGGGGCCAGCTCCTGGCAAGTGGCGGAGCAACGGAGCACAAAATCAGGACTTTTAAAAGTCTGTTCCGCTGAGGGACATCGCTCCAGAGGCTAAACCGGGGTGAAACCCACGCGGGGTCAGCATGGCCTCAGGTCCCGCAGGGTCACAGAAGGATCGGGGGTGTCTGAGTGTTGCAGAGCTTGCAGGTATTAGAACAGGAAAGCCGGCTACAGAGACAGAGCCGAGGAGTGAGCTCTAAACTTGGGGTTACCTTGAACCGGTCACAGGCTCGGTGAGCCCAGAGTGCGGCCAGAGGCCAGGGAGATGGGAGTAAATGGGCGCTGTTCTCTGAGGGCACACTGAGGAGTGGGGCCCCCAGCTCTCAGCTCCTCCAGGCCGGAGACGGGGAAGCCGCCATCTTCATTCCTGTCCTCCAGAACTCTATGGAAAGCGCTCAGGGAACAAAAGCTCCCGAAAGCAAACCTGATTGGATTACTCAGCCCGGCCCCTGGTAAGGGCGGTACAATTCCGCCGGGGGCAAAGACACTCGAGAATCACTCCAACAGGCCCCTCCCCCAGAAGATCAAGAAATCCAGCCAGGACCAAGTTCACCTACCAAGGAGTGCAGTTTCAATACCAAGGAGAGCAGCGGAATTCCAGAGGAGGAGAAAGCAAAGCACGGAACTCATGGCTTTCTCCCCATGATTCTTTAGTGTTGCAGTTAATTCAATTTTTTTTTCTTTTTCAATTTTTTTTCCTCTCTTCTTCTGCTAAATTTTTTTAACTTTTACACTTTTCTTTTCTTTTTAACGTTTTTTAACTAGTTTATCTAATATATATAAGTATATTTTTTTATATTTTTTCTTTATTCGTTTTCTTTTTTTAATTGTTTCTTTCTTTTTTTTTTTTCTTTCTGAACCTCTTTTTATCCCCTTTCTCCCCCCTCACTATTTGTGATCTCTTCTGATTTGGTTAAAGCATATTTTTCTGGGGTCTTTGCCACCCTTTTAGTATTTTACTTGCTCCTTTATATATACTTATCTGGACAAAATGACAAGACGGAAAAATTCACCACAAAAAAAAAAAAAAAAAAAGAACAAGAGGCAGTACCGAAGGCTAGGGACCTAATCAATATGGACATTGGTAATATGTCAGATCTAGAGTTCAGAATGATGATTCTCAAGGTTCTAGCTGGTCTCAAAAAAGGCATGGAAGATATTAGAGAAACCCTCTCGGGAGATATAAAAGCCCTTTCTGGAGAAATAAAAGAACTAAAATCTAACCAAGTTGAAATAAAAAAAGCTATTAATGAGGTGCAATAAAAAATGGAGGCTCTGACTGCTAGGATAAATGAGGCAGAAGAAAGAATTAGTGATATAGAAGACCAAATGACAGAGAATAAAGAAGCTGAGCAAAAGAGGGACAGCTACTGGACCATGAGGGCAGAATTCAAGAGATAAGTGGCACCATAAGACAAAACAACATCAGAATAATTGGGATTCCAGAAGAAGAAGAAAGAGAGAGGGGAGCAGAAGGTATATTGGAGAGAATAATTGGAGAGAAGTTCCCCAATATGGCAAAGGGAACAAGCATCAAAATCCAGGAAGTGCAGAGAACCCCCCTCAAAATCAATAAGAATAGGTCCACACCCTGTCACCTAATAGTAAAATTAACAAGTCTTAGTGACAAAGAGAAAATCCTGAAAGCAGCCCGGGAAAAGAAGTCTGGAACATACAATGGTAGAAATATTAGACTGGCAGCAGACTTATCCACAGAGACCTGGCAGGCCAGAAAGAGCTGGCATGATATATTCAGAGCACTAAACGAGAAAAACATGCAGCCAAGAATACTATATCCAGCTAGGCTATCATTGAAAATAGAAGGAGAGATTAAAAGCTTCCAGGACAAACAAAATCTGAAAGAATTTGCAAACACCAAACCAGCTCTACAGGAAATATTGAAAAGGGTCCTCTAAGCAAAGAGAGACCCTAAAAGTAGTAAATCAGAAAGGAACAGATTATTCACCACGACCAAGTGGGATTTATTCCAGGGCTGCCAGTTTGGTTCAACATCCGCAAATCAATCAATGTGATACAACACATTAATAAAAGAAAGAACAAGAACCATATGATACTCTCCATAGATGCTGAAAAAGCATTTGACAAAGTACAGCATCCCTTCCTGATCAAAACTCTTCAAAGTGTAGGGATAGAGGGCACATACCTCAATATTATCAAAGCCATCTATGAAAAACCCACCGCAAATATTCTCAATGGAGAAAAACTGAAAGCTTTTATGCTAAGTTCAGGAACATGGCAGTGATGTCCATTATCACCACTGCTATTCAACATAGTACTAGAAGTCCTAGCCTCAGCAATCAGACAACAAAAGGAAATTAAAGGCATCCAAATCGGGAAAGAAGAAGTCAAACTATCACTCTTCGCAGATGATATGATACTATATGTGGAAAACACAAAAGACTCCACTCCAAAACTGCTAGAACTTGTACAGGAATTCAGTAAAGTGTCAGGATATAAAATCAATGCACAGAAATCAGTTGCATTTCTCTACACCAACAACTAGACAGAAGAAAGAGAAATAAAGGAGTCAATCCTATTTACAATTGCACCCAAAACTATAAGATACCTAGGAATAAACCTAACCAAAGAGGCTAAGAATCTATACTCAGTTAACTATAAAGTACTCATGAAAGAAATTGAGGAAGACACAAAGAAATGGAAAAATGTTCCATGCTCATGGATTGGAAGAACAGATATTGCAAAAATGTCGATGCTACCTAAAGCATTCTACACATTTAATGCAATCCCTGTCAAAATCCCACCCATTTTTTTTTTTTTCAAAGAAGTGGAACAAATAATCCTAAAATTTATATGGAACCAGAAAAGACCTCGAATAGCCAAAGGAATATGGAAAAAGAAAGCCAAAGTTGGTGGCATCACAATTCCGGACTTCAAGCTCTATTATAAAGCTGTCATCATCAAGACAGCATGGTACTCGCTCAAAAACAGACACATAGATCAATGGAACAGAATAGAGAGCCCAGAAATAGACCCTCAACTCTATGGTCAACTAATCTTTGACAAAGCAGGAAAGAATGTCCAATGGAAAAAAGACAGTCTCTTCAACAAATGGTGTTGGGAAAATTGGACAGCCACATGCAGAAAAATGAAATTGGACCATTTCCTTACACCACACACGAAAATAGACTCAAAATGGATGAAGGACCTCAATGTGAGAAAGGAATCCATCAAAATCCTTGAGGACAAGCCAGGCAGCAACCTCTTTGACCTCAGCCACAGCAACATCTTCCTAGGCTCATCGCCAAAGGTAAGAGAAGCAAGGGCAAAAATGAACTATTGGGATTTTATCAAGATCAAAAGCTTTAGCACAACAAAGGAAACAGTTTACAAAATCAAAAGACAACTGACAGAATGGGAGAAGATATTTGCAAATGACATATCAGATAAAGGGCTAGTGTCCAAAATCTATAAAGAACTTAGCAAACTCAACACCCAAAGAACAAATAATCCAATCAAGAAATGAGCAGAAGACATGAACAGACATTTCTGCAAAGAAGACATCCAGATGGCCAACTGACACATGAAAAAGTGCTCCACATCCCTGGGCATCAGGGAAATACAAATCAAAACCACAATGAGATACCACCTCACACCAGTCAGAATGGCTAAAATTAACAAGTCCGGAAATGACAGATGCTGGCGAGGATGTGGAGAAAGGGGAACCTTCCTACACTGTTGGTGGGAATGCAAGCTGGTACAACCACTCTGGAAAACAGCATGGAGGTTCCTCAAAATGTTGAAAAAAGAACTACCTTATGACCCAGCAATTGCACTACTGGGTATTTACCCTAAAGATACAAACGTAGTGATCCGAAGGGGCACGTGCACCCGAATGTTTATAGTAGCAATGTCTACAATAGGCAAACTATGGAAAGAACCTAGATGCCCATCAACAGATGAATGGATAAAGAAGATGTGGTCTATATACACAATGGAATATTATGCAACCATCAAACGAAATGAAATCTTGCCATTTGCAACGATGTGGATGGAAATAGAGGGTATTATGCTTAGCGAAATAAGTTAATCAGAGAAAGACAACTATCATATGATCTCCCTGACACAGGAAGTGGATATGCAGCATGGGGGGTTAATGGGGTAGGAGAAGAGTAAATGAAACAAGATGGGATTGGGAGGGAGACAAACCATAAGTGACTCTTAATCTCACAAAACAAACTGAGGGTTGCTGGGGGGAGGGGGGTTGGGAGAAGGTGGGTGGCGTTATGTACATTGGGGATGGTATGTGCTATGGTGAGTGCTGTGAAGTGTGTAAACCTGGTGATTCACAGACCTGTACCCCTGGGATAAAAATATATTATATGTTTATAAAAATAAAAAAAATTAAATTAAATTAAAAAAAACAAACAAAAAAAGATGTCTCAAGAATTCTTTCTTGTTCAGTGCCTCCAGACTCTACCGCACCGAACCTCACTGATACTCTAAAACTTCATCAGAGGTAGGAAATTTGCATTCCAAGCCATACTTGTGTCCTAAGCCACATTCAATCAAGTTCCACCAGGAAAGGGGCCACATAAAAGGAAGATCACATTCAGAATATACTTTTCTAGATAGAATGGCAGGAGGTAATTGGGCTTTTTAGGAGTAGTAACAGCAGCAAAGCTCCTAGCAGTAAAATTCTGTGGTTGGCGTGCCATGCTCAGTGCCCACTTCTCTGTGTGTACTGAGTGAACTTGGCTGCTGCATCCACACTGCCCACAGGGTATGACGTTTAGGTTATGGTCTTGGCTCTAGAGTCTCTGAGCTTGATTCACTGGTTCTGAGTTTCTCAAAATTTTGTGAATTTCACAATACCTGTAACCATTTGACTTTTTATTTTAACTAGCTAGAGTTAGTTCTGTTGTTTGTTTGCACCTGAAAATCTTGATTTACTTGGGTAGACATTTCTTTTTTTTACTGTAAGTTATAAAGGGCATTCTGGTTTTCCTAATTCTAGCTCACTCTGGTACACTGATGAGTTCCAGGTTTCTGAGTACGTGAGGTAGAAAGTTTCATGCCCAGGATCCTAGATAGTGGCTTTTACCTTGCTCTGATAGTTCCTTCACACTATTCAGGAACCTTTAATGACTTACTATTGTCTATGGGAAAAATGCGAGACCTCAGACTCTCGTATTGAAGGTTTTTCACTTTCTGGTTCTACTTTTCTACTGTATTTCCAATATTCTAACACCACTACCAATTTGCAATGTTTGCTCTTCTCTTTGATTTTTTTTTTTTTTAACTCTGGCCACTACTTATACTATTCTCTCTGCTTGCAGGGATCTTACATTTCTGTCTACCAGAATCTTGCTCATCATTCAGGACTCTATTCAGATTACATTTCTTCAATGAAGACTTTACTAATGACTCACTGCAGAAATACTGCTTTATCATCTGAAATCTTCTCTGCATTGAGAGCATCCTTTCTATTATGACTTGGCCTAATGAATGTATGTCTACTCAGACGTCTTCCTAAGTATATTGTAGACTCAAAGACCAGACCATATCTCAGCATCCATTTTGTTTCTTCTGTATAACTGACATTGAATCTTGGATATGGTAGATGCCAAAAGTCAATGAAAAAATTAATTAGTGAACTGCTCACAATAGACACATTATCTGTCAAAACAGAAAAAAAAATAGCTCCCTTTAGAGATACATGGGAACTCTGCTAGAGCTTCAGGATTGGGGTGTGCTGTGGACCATCCATAGGAACACAGCTCTTCAGCAGTTTAACTTATAACCTAGAGACACATGCACTTATGTTGTTGGAAGAATATGTTCAAAGCATGTTCAATGCTAAACTGTGGGTAAGTGAAAAGCTTTGTCCTTCCTTTAACATGCACCCTCACATACAGACTCATTAGTGGGTAAGGGTCCTTTCAGAAGAGTTAGAAGAAGAGTCTGAAGAATCTAAAGTCTAAAGTCCTGGTTTTTCTAGTCTTGCTTCTGTTGCAAGTTAAAAGATTGACTTTGGGTAAGTCATCTATCTTTTCTGGGCCTAGTTTCTTTGTCTAAAAATTGGATCATGATAATGTTTTGATTGCTCAGAGACCAAATAAGATAGAAACACCTTGGAGACAGAGGGGCAGATGGGGCTAGAAATCAGTGGGAAGAGAGAAGGAGACTAGTAGGAAAGGGAAGTAAATATGGGGGGCAGGAGGGATAGAGAATGGAATCAAACTGGCCTAGAGGCACTATAGGTGGAGGGGGATCTCTTCCATCTGAAAGACAAGAGGGAGTTTTTCTGAAAATGTTTCTCAGGGCTACAGCAGACTGCTATTCCCATACCGAAATTTTGTTCTCTCCTCCTTTGCACTAGCAGAACCCGTGGATTGTTAGGGGGAGCCACCTTGGAAAGAGCAAGTGTTTTTTCATGTGTTGCTTTTCTCTCAAGCCTAGGTCTGGCAGTCTAGGGAGACACTTGCATATTGTAGACATTCTACATTCCTTGGAGAATCAGTGCTGTCCAAAGAACAATTGTGAAGTTTCTCATAAAAAAATAATCAGTCAAACAACAACAACAACAACAGCAAAAAACATGGTTTAGAACAGAGTTTAAATAAGTCACATGAGACTGGGGCCTTTTTGTGGCTTAGGGTATGAAAAGATCTCTTTTCACTTGTTGTGTCCTGGAGAAAGCCTTTTCCTTCTGTGTTCTTTCTTTCCTTCCTCTTTCCTTCCTTCCCTCCTTCCCTTCCTTTCTTCTCTTGCTCCCTTCCTTCCATCCTTCCTCCATTCATTCCTTTACTCCCTCCCTTCCTCTGTCCCCTCCTCCCTTTCCTTCCTTCCTTCCTTCCTTCCTTCCTTCCTTCCTTCCTTCCTTCCTTCCTTCCAATACAGTCATGTACTCAATGTTGTTGAGCAGCAGAGAGAATGCTAGGATTTTCCAAAGGACCTATCTTAGCAAGAATCTGAGTTTATCCAGTGAGCCTAGGTTAGCACATTGTTATCTACACTCTTACCTACCTTCACTGCTGCCGCAGCCTCCTCTCCATTATGATGATGAATTTTCATCATGCTGCTTCCCAAATGAAGAAAGCTCTTAAAACAGCCAGGTACAGTCTTGTCCCTGTGGTCCTGCTTTGAACTAGCCAGGCCCAGAACAGGGTGGGACATTTTCTCCTCATTATCACCTCATCACTCTGTTCCCCTTGTCTGAGTAGGGCCAGAGAGGTGCGGTTCAGAGCTGAATGCAGGAACAGAAGTGCTAATGAAGAGAAAGTGTTCAAGCATGGATCCTGCCCTCTCATTCAGTCCCCATTGAAAATGGTAACACCATGAGGTCATCCTTCTCACTGCTAAGTTTTAATGAATTTTAATGCTGCTGTTTGGGGGAGTAAGTAGTATGCAGATGGTTTTAGTTTTAAACAATAAACTGTCCCACGAAGAGGGAAGTTAATAAAATATTAGGTTGGTGCTGAAGATTTTTATCTCTTTACTGAAAGAAAGACATGTTTTATAGGAGTAGCTATCAATTTGGTATTTAAATCAAGTTTCTGTTGAACAAACATCATTGGAACACCTGCTATGTGTTGAACTTTGGGCTAGGTAGTAAGAATACGAGTAAATATTTAACATTTATCAAGTGTTTTCTTTAAGACAGGACCCATGTGCTAAGAGCCTCTGTGATGCTTTTATACTTTGTTGACTTAGCTGAGCTGTATCTGTGGTTCTCAGTTTCCTTCCTGGCATGGTTATGGGTTGTGGGTTGTGGGTTAGGGCTGAGGACAAGAGAAATTTGCATGAGATTTGGAAGGCAGGACTGAACAGCAGCAGGTGTGCTCTGGGGTGGTGTGTGCCGTCATGATCTCTTGCTTGCCTCACTGGCGTGGGACAGCAGCTGAGCCTCAGATCTGGCACTTGCAGAATCTTGTCTTTTAGTCTCCTGAACCAGATATATGCACATCTTTGTGGTAAGGGAAACATGTCTTTGAGGAGAGGTGATGAAAGACACAGGGGGGTTTAGTTTGTCTTATGGGTTCAGGTTTGTCCGTATGGGTTGCAAGTTTTCCTGTCTCTCCCCATTTCATGTCCAGCTTTTCAGCCTGCTGGCCCTGCTGACCTACAGGAACTCCAGACCCCCAGATATACAGCCTTCCATTGACTTCTCCACCAGATTCTTGCAGTCCCTGTGAGTGATTTTCTCTGATCCTCCTATCCCCTTCTGAACATGTAATTCACTGGTTTCTCCCACAGTTGCTTAAGGTCTAATCTGTAATGTCAAGCTCTTATTCCACATCATTTGTGTGACATTGATTTTGGGACTGTCAGAAGCTCAAAGTGTCTCAAGGAGAAAGTTTGAAGGACAGTCAGGAAGTGGATATTGGGGAATAGAGAAAAAACAACCCATGGTGTGTACTGGTGAGAAGTTGGCAATGGTGTTTGCAGTAATTGGAAAACACAAAATATATCTAATGAAATAGTAGATTTGGTTAAGGAGATCCAGGAAGAATACTGAATTTGCCAACTGGCTTCTTTTAGCAGTGTATGATAAGGTAAAGAGGGAATTGTTACATTTTTTCAGCAGAATTTAGAAGAAATAGAGAGGATCTAACCAAGTCTGCAGAAGGACCTCAAAGTAAGAAATGGTCTTAGGGAAAGGAACAAACTTAGGGCAGTAAAACATTGTCTTAGGTTAACAATACAGTCAAGGGTGTGATTCTAAAACCTGATGTTAAGAACTTAGAAGTACTTAAAGGTGGGGGCACCTGGGTGGTCGAGTTGGTTAAGCCTTTGCCTTCAGCTCTGGTCATGATCCCAGGGTCCTGTGTTGGGCTTCCTGCTTAAAGGGGAGCCTGCTTCTTTCTCCCTCTCCCTCTTCCTGCTGTTCCGTCTGCTTGTGAGTTGGCCCTCTCTCTCAACTGTAAAAGAAATAAAATCTTTTTTTCTTTTTTTAAAAGAAGCACTTAAAGTGTGTCTTATAGTCTCATAGATGTTAATGGTATCCCTTTTATGTGTTCTTGGCTGGAGACAGCTTCTAATATTTTTATGAGCTTTATCCTATAGCAGCTTGTTACAGGGCAGAAAAGGGTTTATTATAGAAAGAAATTTGAATATGGAATTTGTTCAATAGAGTGGAATATCATTTGACACATAAGGAACATATTTAAAATTTTTTTTTCATTTATTTATTTCTAAAGTAGGCTCTATGACCAATGTGGGGCTTGAACTCACAACTACAAGATCAAGAGTTGCTTGCTCTACTGACTGAGCCAGCCAGGTGCCCCAAGAAACATATATTTTTAAAAAGAAATGTATTAACTTGAAATGAATAGAGATAATTCGAAATGAGAAGAGGGCTCTTTAAACTGGAAGCAAGAAGGAAGAAGGCTGGAAGTCCTCCAAGAAAGCTACTCAAGCTGTTTCTGGTGGAAAAGAATGCCTCAGAGTGTGGGGCTGAGAACCCCAAAGACCAAGCCAAGAGCCGCCTCGGATGCCTGACTCTCTGCCTGATGCCTTTTTCCAGTAACATGGAGCTTGCTCAGTGCATTCAGGAGATCCAAGATATGCAAGAGATTTAATGCTCTCAAAGACACACCTTAGGCCATGAGGAACAGGAGTCAGTGGGTAAATACTCTGGCTTCCATGTTATTTGGTAATCATATTCTTCATGGCTCCTCAGAGGTTTCTCCATGGGAATAAGCCACAGTTGTCCATGGTAATAACTTACTCATTTAACCTATCTCACTCTCACCATTCTTTATTTATGCTTGTTGGGATCCACTTAAACCACCAGGGCTGAATCATTGTCTTGGGACTTGTTTTTAGAGGAATCCAAATTAAAACCAAGGAAATGATTACCTCTGACTGGGAATATCTGAAGTCATGTCAGAAGGGTCCTCAAGGATAAAGATCACACGAGGCCAGCAGTATGGAGTGTAGTGGGCTGGGTGGTCATTCCTGGCAGAGTGCTAGTTTGTGTCAATGCTTGGAGGTAATAAATGGGGTGCTGAATTTGGGGAACTGTTAGTAGTTTATGTTGTAAGCCAATTCCTTCGTGTAGGACAGAGCCATGTGCTGCTCTCTGGGCAAATGCAGCTTGTCAGCATACATTACATCTGTTTGAATTAGAAATAGATGCACAGGGAAAAAGAGACACCTTTTCTGCCAAGGAGATACAGCCCATCACCAGAGATCAAGGTTTAGCACATGGGTTGGGCTGGATTTCAGCCTGGTCTTGACCTTGCATGGTGTGAGGAGATAAGCCTGAATAGGTAGACAGAGCAACTGTGGGATGGGCCCATGGGTTGTGCTGAATGGGTATCCTGTAGGTAAAGGGCTCTATTTAATGTTGTAAGTGAAGGTTGACATCATTAGACTTGTGTGTGTGTGTTTAATTTTAATTCCAGTGTAGTCAACATACAGTGTTATATTAGTTTCAGGTGTACTATATAGGGATTCAACAATTCTATACATTACTTAGTGCTCATCAAGATAAGTGTACTGTTAATCCCCTCCACCTATTTCACTCATCTCCCATATACCTCCCCTCTGGTAACCACCACTTTGTTCTCTATGTATAGAGTCTGTCTCTTTTTAGATTTGTGTTTTAAGAATCTTATGTCTGCTCTGAGCAGAGGACCTTAGGGTTGGGGTCAACACTGAAGGCAATGAAGGTATCTTGAAAAAAGCATTGTCTTTGGGGATGGGAAGAAATGGACATAATTTTCTAGAAATGGGGAAGGTAGAGTGGATATGCATCGAGATGAAAGATAGATCAGAGGTGGGGAGCTGGGGGCAGAGGGAAATATTGCAGACAATATTGTCACTCAACTTCTGTCTTGTTCCTACATTCTCCAGTCTCCTTGAAATTAGGTGGGGTCTGTGACTAATTCTATCCCATGGCCATAATTAGGAGTGATATAGGAAATATATATCAACCTTTGCTGATCCATGATGGACACATAGTATAAATGAAAACTAAATCATTCCGATTAGGCCATTTTGGTTTGTCATCACAGCACAAACCAGGCTATTCTGAATCATCAGGAGACCTCAAGGATGAGGCCTAATTTCTAAGTGGGATAACTGGGTGGGTGGGTAGGTCACAGAAGTATATTGGAATGGAGTACTATGTCAAGACTGACAGATGTGTTTTCAGGTCCCTAATGGAGAGAAATCTTAGTGACTTTTCTGGAAATAAAAGCACTGGGACAAGAGAAAGAGAAACTGGTCAATGCACTAAATTCACTGAACACCTTCTCAGTGTCCTGGTCTGTGCTGATGTTGGGAGAGAAATAAGAGTGAGGACACAGCCTTTCCCTCCTGGGAACTCAGTCTGACATGCGAGATGAGGCATGCACAGAAGAGAGTCAAACAAGCAAGGCAAGCAAGTAGCCGCACAAGGAGGGAGAAATGGTCATGGCCATGGATTCGGAGGGGAGGTAATGAGTAGAAGAGCTAGGTTTAAAGTTCCTCTAGTCAGAACAAAGATGAGGGGACCTATGGGCACACTATTCCACACGGGAAAACCAAGCCTAATGTGCCTGTGACTAAAGGACTCTAGAAAAGTCACAGAGAAATATAAAGTAGAGCCCAAGTCTAATGCATATTTGCACAGTGGAGACAATTGGAGTAAAACTGAATCCATGTCACTGGCAGGACAGATTTTTCATGACCAGAGCAGCCAATTTAAAGTTCCTCCACATCATTTGTCCTATATCCTCAAATTCAGGGAGACAGAGTCCTGGGTAAATATCTTCATGGACTGCTGAAAGGGATACTGCTGAGTGCTTAGAGGGGAGAGTTACTATTTTTTAATGCATCTTTTATTAGAACTCCCTGTTACCAATCCTCCCCCAACAGGAACATGTGCATGCATACACACACCCACACTCATCCCTCATACCCTCCAGTTCCCAGTCAAAAACACAGAACTCTGACCACCAGGGCACAGAGAGCAAGGGCTTGAATTCCCTCACTAATGTTATGGATCACTTCATAAGAAGACATGGAAAGGCAGATATTCCCTATAGGGACACGTTTGCTAATTGGATGTTAGTGGAAGAACCTCTAGGGTTTGCAATCTATGTGCTTATTTTATTTAACGCCTGGATGTATGGATGTACCAGTGCTAACTTTCCTCACTTGGGTTTCTCAGAGCATCCTCCCCACTCCTGTGAACATCTGAACA